AGCGGGACACCAAGAGACACTGAACAAAAGTCCACTCATATGCAGAAATGGTACCCGTCTCAATCATCTCTGCCCCAGAATCCTTCCAACATCGGTCTTCTAGGACCACAAGCTTTTCTGGGATCAACTCCACCTTTTCCTGTGATCATACAGCACTTAGCGCTGTGGGACCCTGCACAAAGGACCCTGCTTGCTACGGCAATATAAACTAGATAATAAAATGTACCTTATTCAATGCAAGCAAGAGAGCAGGCTTATAGTAAGAAGCACCACTGCACGTAGCTTGGATGAGTGGCTCCTCATTCATCTTACGTGCCGTGCCTTCTTGTGGAGGCCTGGATGGAAGTAAGCAACAGTAGGTAAAGAGAAACCAGCTTGCCAGGGCATAGCGAATTAATTTATGAGACCCCCCCCGCCACATGCAAGGCATGAGCACAGAAGAAACACGGTCTGTAATGATGCAGCTCAGTGCCTCAGCTGGCCCACGTAGACGGTTCAGTTTTTGTGCACAGAGCCCTATACCTCCACTGTCACCCAGACCCTCAACCCAGAAACTCCAGGCAGCAAAGGCATCAAGCTGAAGCCAAACCAAAGCCAAGCAGGCAAAGGGGAGGAGGCATTTAACTTTCTTGGATGAATCACGAAGAGAATAAAGTAACCAGCAGAACCTGAAATGCCTAATATCGTCTTTCCTTTGAGGCAGTGTCTGCAGCGTAGCTGAAATTAAGGTTATTTGGGTGTTTCACATGCATTGGCCACTGAGAGAGGGCAAGGAGAGACTCAGCAGGAGCTACCAGGAGAAGCCAGGCAAAGTGCCAGGCCCCGAATCCTTGGGAACACGGGAGTCTCCTGGAATCGCCCATGCCAGAGGAAAGACTGAAGAGTGGCACAAAGAGACAAAAATGCTTGCCCAAAGTCACAGAGACAGAGCCCTGGCCTCGGGACACTTGTCCACAAGGTCGGCTCCTCAATCATTCCTCCTGTTTCCCATATGCAAGCGCTGGGAGGAGGTGGACTGTGCTGGTGGGATTCCCACTTGGAGAGCCGACATGGTGCTGCCGAACCGCTGCCTGGCCCAGACAACGTCGACTTCACCAAAATCCCATTCTTGTCGGCACGCCTCCGTCACCAGGCCTGATGGCAACCTCGCAAACCTTCCCCGTCTGAAGAGGTTGTCCGATCACTACTGCCACGTGTCCCGGCTAACTGCCCGTACCTTCTTGAGCATCGCAGAAGCAAGCTTCTGGCTCTTGGCAAACGGCGTCTCTAGGCCAGGGGGCGATGAATTAGTCAGGCCTATTCCCACAAGGGCAGAGGGTCAGGAGAGCAGTCCAGGAACAGCACGGAGACCAAGAGATGTGCCAGTGGCCCCAGAAACCTCTAAATAGCAAGAAACCTTTGGGTCAGAACCAAGGGTGTGTTGATTAAAACAAACTAAACGTTTTCCTGGAACCTGATAATGCTTCTCTTCCTGGCCATCCAGAGCACAAAGGCTCTCTGGAAACACAACCCAAAACTACGCAGCGAGGAAGACAGACAAACCCATGGAGAAGAGGGTTAGCTTCCTGCATGGGATACTCGCAGGTCACAGCCGAGATGCCAACAATCCCTTTGGAACGAGAACAAGGCAAGAACAACCGAGGCATCGACGGGTCTCCTGTCAATACGGCGAGGGAAGGGGATACGTTCGCAGGGAGCTTAGCAGCAGTGCGGAAAGAGGGGCTAGCAGTTCTCCCCTCCCAACGAGGCTGTAGGCGAGATCCAAGATGAGAAGAAAGCACGAGAAGCAGAAGCATGAGGTCTTTTCAACCCGATAGCGAACCAGGCTCGGATGACCCTGGAGCAAGAGTCCACGTGCCACAGGTTTTGCTTCATTAGGATCACACCATCCTTCCTTCATACACAACTCACTCCATTGACTGCCCCAGCTGGCTCATATCTATTTTGCAGTCCCCACAACAGAAACGCCAAAAGGATAACCAACCTGGGCCAGACACCCAAACCAATGCGTGTGGTTTGAGGCTGCTCTGGGAACTTCCGGCACAGCTCCGAGCAGGGGAGAGGGACTTGGGATTTCAGTCTGATCCTACTTTGGTGCCACTCGATGTTGAAGTTTCTCGCAATGGACTCAGGCTCCGAGCCCTCTGCATCTCTGCTAGGGTAGAGCGTGCCCAATCCTGCCATGACACAACCTGGTCCTTTCCACATAGCACACAGCTCACCGGCTGCCCTCGCTATTCTGCCGTCAGCGGTTTCCAGGTGGGTTGGGATGCTACAGTTTAGGGATAAGCACAATGCAGTTGGAGGGCTATTTGATTCAGATTGTTAGGGGCTGGAAGGGACCTTGCAGATCATCAGGTCCAGCCCCCCCACCCCCTTCTCCGGGCAGAAATACAACTGGGCTTAAGTGACCCCAGCGAGGTGACTGTCCAGAATCTGGTTTAATTCTACGTGGCTGAGGGACAGCAGAGGTGGCAAGGTTTGGAAGATGTGGTCTACGTGAATCCTGGGGAGGAAGAGAGATGAGGAAGCTGAAGTGGAGGAGTGTGAAAGTCAACCATTGTGGTTGAGCAAAATGCTGCCCCGAATGCAGAGCCACCTAGATTCATAGACATTAGGGCTGGAAGGGACCTCGGAAGATCATCGAGTCCAGCCCCCTGCCCCAGGGGCAGGAAATCAGCTGGGGTCATGGGATCCCAGCAAGATAAATATCCAGATGTCTCTTGAAGGTGTCCAAGGTAGGCGCTTGAACCACCTCCGGCGGCAGTCTATTCCAAACCTTGGGGGCTCGGGCAGTAAAGCAGTTCTTCCTGAAGTTGCTTTGGAGGTGGAAGGATGGGAAATAAAAGTGCATCCTTCCCAGGCTTAAGTGGTTAGGATTTGGCCCTAAGCTTTGCCCTTTCAGCTTTCCCCATCTCCAGCATCCATCCCTGCAGCACTTCAGTCAGCCAAAGGAGAGGCTGAATCAGTCCCTAATCCCTGCCACCAGGTCACCTCCGCCAAAACATCGACTAACGACTGAATTAGATCCCTACCTTCATGGGTTATGGAGCAACGCGTGCCGAGCGCTGTTTTGCAGCATGTCTGGGTAAGAACAAGTCCAGTAATGACTCCTCAAGGCAGAGCTCTAACTCTGAATGAGAGGGGCAGAGACGAGCCAGTCCCGGATAGAAACGTGCGGGAGCGCAGAGCAAGCGAGGGTGCCGCAGGGCAGCACGTCAGCCCATCACCAAGCCACTCTGAAAAGACACCGAGCCAAGGGAAAAGCAGCCTGCTCCACAGGGGTGCCTGCGAGCCATTTCCACAGCCAGTGGTTGCGGAGGGCAGAGGCCCTTCACGTGACGCTGGAATTTCCCCAAGGAACTGAAATGCCAAATGTTCACAGAGAGTTTAAGGGATTTAGCGGAGTAAAACCCTTTAGTTCCTTTGAAAACCCCCAATCTGACCTCTTCCGTGCCATTTTTTAATTATTTTTTTTGTGGAAGATATTACACCCTCCCTTCCAACCAGCCCAGTAGCTCAAATACCTCCACTCATTCCAGAGAAGGGACACATCACATTACAAGAAAAAAACGGAAATAGTGGGAAAACCACCCCAAAAACAGCATCTTTTGCAAGAGACGGGCCATTTTTTTCCCCCAGATAAAGGGGATTCCAGGCACAGACTGGAGAGTCCATCCAAGAGCCTTTCTATCTGATTTCTAACAATGACCATTGTGTATGTTAGCAGGAGCAAATGTTTGGAAAGACTTGAAAAAGCGATAAGATAAGATCTAAATTAAGCCTGACCGGGAAATGAATACAATAGAATAAAAAGCAGAGAAGCTGATAACTTTGTGCCTCCATGTCCAGTCATATAAACAAAACCAAACCGGCTGCGTTGGGTGTATCCCGGCTGGTACAGATGCCAGAATGACTGCTGCTAATGCACAGATTCGATTTTGCTGCTAGCCCGAGTCCCGAAGTATCCTTGTTTAACCTAAAACTGAGGCAAACCACAAATCAGAAGACATTTGACGGCGATTGCCCTGCTGTATCCCCCACACTTCAAACAGCAGCTGGATGCCTGCCATAACACCTTGAATGGGTGGTTATTTTGAGCTTCGTGGTGTGAACAGATTATTTGACACCCAGAAGTATTTCTAATATAGCACCTGCCGTTCAAGGATCTGACAAGCACTTTTCAACTTCTCCAAGTCCCCGCGCGCTCCCCAGATACGCAAGAAAGGCGTAGAGCAGCGGTTTTTCAACCTTCTTTCATTTGCGGATCCCTTTGGAAATGTCGAGTGAAGGTGGGGACCCCTTTGGATTGCAAGCTTGAGTAGTCACATGCTCTTGATTGGTCATAGTCATCTTTCATGGACCCTTTAGACAGTCTGAGGATCCCTGGAGGATCCCCAGAGGTCGAAAACCACTGGTGTAAAGACACTGAGGGGCAAGGAGTTCTAAAGGGCAGTGGGTTCAGGGCAAGTCTGAAAACCAGCCCCGAAGTAATAGGATCACAGGAAAATAGGACTGGGAGGAGTCATCTAGTCCAGCCTCCTGCTCAAGAAAGGATCATCTCTGACTAAAGCAACCCAGTGAACAGCAGGAGTGAATTCACAGGTGCTATAGTTATTCCTACTCGCTGCTACCTGGAAACTTGTTTCGGGACCAAAGTTTGTTACTAGCTTTTCAAAAAATCAAATTTAGGCCCTTTTTTGGATCAAGAGTCATTGCACTAATACTTATGTCAAAATAATTTAGACTTTTTCTTAGGAAGCTGGCATCATTAAAAGGGCACAAGTTTGGATATAGCTCTCTCCTTCAGTAGAGGAGGGGACAACTCCAGGAATCGTCATGTGTTTCTCAACCACACCTCACCCAAGGGTCAAAAATGGAGCAAAGAGCACCTGCAAAAAGTCACTTCGAGCATCACAGGCCCCAGGTTTGAGTTTTTTTAAAGAAAAAAAGGCATCTCCCAAACAGCGCGTCAACGCGATAACAGAGAACTTCACTGCAACAGGAAAGTAGCAGTTTAATAAATATCCCACGAATGGGAGAGATTAGCCAGTTCTAAACACAATCTAAAAGAAACTAAATACATTTCGTCATTAGCCGAACAGAAAAGAAAAGAAAAAGAAACACAAAAGAACAAGAGCAATAGTAAACTTGGTTAATTTAAGAATTCTTCATCAGGATACGTGGACCTTCCCCTATACAAGACCTTCCAACTGTCACCAGGAACGCTAGCGGTGCAGAGAACAGAACAAACCCAAGAACGGTTAAATGAAAATTTATCCTTCTGCAAAACTAAAAGGCAAGTGAGAACAGACTTTTTTTTTTTTTTTAAATCCAACAATATCAGTTTTTAAACTCACTTGAACTGCCTGCAATGAACACTGGAACTGTAGAAGGCCAAATAAGTGATCTTTGCCTCATATCACAGGGGGCACCAGAATGAAAATGCTCCAGCCACGGTGGAGTTTGCCACTGCTTGCCCACCTGCGATACGACGGCGTTGATCTATTGGAGATGTCAGTACGGGACAGCCAGCCAGCGCTGGGTATCACACTGCAGGTCAAGGGTGGGGGGGGTTAAAAAAAAGGCTATTTTAAAAATAGTTAGCTTTTCCATAGAAAGTAACAAAAAAATTGGCAAAAGTAGTCTAAATGTTCTGTACAGATTCTAGTCTCCACGAGAAGTGATACAGGAAATTACCGGCCTTTCAGAATAAGGGCATTCTTCATTCAGGTCCAGTAATTTTGGCTCCTCTACAGCTTGGCCCCAAATCCTTCGCGTTCTGTTGAGACAAAACGGCGGGTCGTATCCCTACCCATGAAGGCGGAAGGAGTCAGGGGACGAGGTTGGGGCAGCCTCCCCAGGTGAGTGCAAAGGTAGATCCAATTTCAAAGACTTGGAAACAATTTCCTGTCTGCTTCACTACTCGAGGGTCAGTGGGATCTCCCAGGGGATGCAAATATCCCTGCCGCTACATTGCATTCAAGTTTCCAAAGCCGTTCAGCAGCATTGTCACCGAGGCCAGATCTGCGCTAGACATTGTACCATTTGAACCCAACCGGTACAGTTGGAGCAATACAACCTCCAAAGCATGGATGCCGTTTTAGTGGTAAAAAGATTCTTTCCATTGATAGTTTCCACCCTCTCGTTAAAGGGTATAACTGTACCAACGTCACCTGTCTTACACCAGTTTAACTACATCCACACTAGGACTTTTAAAGCATAACTATTTACTTAAAAAAAAAAAAAGAAATCAGATCCTTGACCATAGAAGTTATGCTGTAAAGACCTCCGAGTCCAGACCGAGCCACAGAAATTCGTTTCTGTGCAGAACTCGTTCGTAAAGGAGAGCACCTCAAGCCGGTAGCTTGTTTTACCTATGGGGATACTGTCTTTTGGGCCCAAAACGGATGGATCCAAGTCATGCTACAAAAATTAAGAAGAAGCGTTGGGTTTTTGAGTTAGCCTCAAAGCACACTATTGCAGGAGTTTGAGAAACCCTGGAAACTCAAACATCTCATTGTGTTAAGAGGAACAATCAGTGAAACAACTGAGCGAGACGCCTTTCACCGTCCACGTGGAGCGAAGGAATAAGAAAAAGCCACAATCAGCGGCAACGGTGAAGGGAAACGGGATTAGGAAATGCCACATTTAAGGTAAGGGAATTAAATAAAGGGACAGGTTTAAAAAAAAATAAAATAAAAAAAATTAGGTCTGTTCATTCTGTGGCGATTTGGTTACTTTACCTGGCACCTCTGAGAACCTCAATGTCCACGAGGCAAGGTTTAATTTGTGTGCGTGGACGAAGGGAGGGAAAACAGCTGTCCCAACTGTAATACAAAATGGACAATCGGGGTGGGCAGCCTCGCTTTGTCGTGCTCGCAAAATGGCTTCTTCGCAACTGCACTTACCCTGGATCTACCGAGTAAGGATTTCTGGATAAGAAACGGCTTTAAGCGCTTTGATTTCCTCTACGAATGGGTATGCCGTACTATCCAGCAAGCTCTTCCTGACTCTGTTTGCCAGCCTCAAGTGGAGTTCTCCACCACTTTTGTATCCTGTCCCACAGTGCAGCCATGTGGGCAAACCCTTCCACCACTGGAGGCAGCTGGCCTGCGCTCGGGCACGTGGGCTATGTGTACAGATCTGGACAAACAACTGGCTGGCTCGGGGGCATAGGTAAATGGATACCAAGTCACTAGTTCAAGCCCAATCTAGCTACACAGCGACTCAAAGCTGTTACTAGCAGAGCGCTTTGACATGACCTATAAGACTCACTTTGTGGACCTCAGTCCGTCTTCTAGAAAACAGCTGCTGACATGACAAGAACTTGACAATAACTGGTCCCCACAAATAACCCCCAGAAAACAAACCCTCCCCCACCCCCCAAAACATCCCTAGCAGCACTCCCTCCAGGATGGGGTTGAGGTATATTGGCAGGGCAGAGGGGGAGCATGCAGCACAGGTCCCCATCCTTGGGCCCACAGTGTGGCAAGAGGATTTCAATCTCCAAGGCAAACCACTGGCACCTTTCCCTAGCTCTAAACTCACCAAAATAAGTGGGTGTTTCGAGTCCTGACGCATGGACGTTGCATCAGCACCCAGAGCTGACCCATGCTGTGCCTCCCTACTCGACTCAGCCCCGACTTCCTGTCTCTGCTCCCAGTGACCCCAGAGGCTAACTGGTATGCCCTACCTGTAGCATCCATTGCTCTTGACCTTTCTTTCCATTCAATGCTTACTACAAACCCGTGCTAAGAGCCGACTGACCCCAACCAGAATGACTGGATGGCGGACTTCTCTCCTTTCCAGAGAGCTCTACAGCATCAGACCTGTTGTAGTTTGAAGGATTCTTATGAATGAATGAATCCACAGCTCCTTTAACAACGAGTTTCCTGTTTAAATGTCCTTGGATTTAACCTTTACCCTAATCTTTACCCTATGCCTTCTCTTTCATTTTGATTTTGACCTCACTGACCGATGAGAATCGATTCCTGCCCTCTGTAATGCCCCTCTATACACTGGGAAATAGCAAGCATTCCTCGCATGCGAAACACAGGTTCCTTATTGCGTGCGCACGCGTTCCTGTACCTTTGCTTCATTCTGCTGCTGCATGACCCGAGCTCAGCTGTCATGCCTCACCAAGTGGCACTCTCTGCTAAAAGTCTAGAAATGCCACCGGATTTCAAACTACTGCGTTCCCAACCTACTGCGAGATTCATGCTGGGACCCTTCAGGTTGACCCATGATATAATGCTGATCAGAATTGCTGCACCTCATCTGACCAGTACCTTATGGAGAGCCATCATCAGTTGTAATGGCAGCAGTTTGATTTTATTAAATCAACTGCTTTAATAAAAGTGCTTAACAAGGATTTGGTCATGGCTCTCACTTCCTTGAGGGAAACATTTTCTAAATTGCCAGTTCCACGTGAGGTGGGGGGGTTTTTTTCCTTTTGAACTGCCTCAATCCCCCTCGAGAAGAGGGTACCACACGCAAGAAGCCTCTATTGTGCAAAGTCCAGCTGTAACAAAACAAGCTAATGCTTGACCATCTATCTCCTTTTAACTCACGCAACTGCCCTTTCACCTCTCAGCCTGTCCTATTTGACCTACAGGCAGCGTCACCAGCAACTATTTCCATCTTTTGTCCCTTCCTTCAGGACATTACTAAAATATTCCTTTTTCGGTCTGTTTCTCATAGGCTGGAATGGGCAAATTCATCAGATCTACCTTGACCGGAGGCTGCGTGGCCTATTCGACACACACGCACACACTGCTCTCTATTTAGTGTATTAGACCACTCTGTATCCTCAGCATGAGGCGAGTGTACAGCATTGGATTAGGCTTCCTACCCTCCTCCCATCCTGAGCCCGAAGTGGTTTAGCTGATCAAGCTGTGATGGGGCCAGTGGCTACTTCTGATTATATAAAAGGGAATGGGGCACGTAACAGAGGCATTGGTTTTACTCTGGCGGTTGGATCATTTAGTTTATATTAAAGAGCAGGGTAGAATTCTAGCTCCTCACTTATTCCACTGGCAAGTTGAATATTTGGCAGGTTACACCATGAAGTTCACTATTCACATAGGCTGGCGTTTGAAGAACTATCCCTTCGCAGGCGCAGTCCAACTTCTCCCTCCTTCATCAGCACCAGATGGTACAAGTCCTTTTTTTTTTTTTTTTTTTGCACCAGCTGGATGCATCTGGCTTGGGAGGGACGCCAGTCTCCCCTTTCAGTCGCTGCTAGTGGTGCACAGTCCGTTACCTCCTTCCCCTCCACTCTCCAACTGGTACAGTCCACCCTGGGTTTGGAGTTGAAATGTGAGTGAATCAAGTTCTTCCCTCCCACCCTCATACGCTACTGTCCTCTAGGAGAGGCTCCTTGCCATCCGATCCTCCAGCCTGCGGGCTGTGGGTGTGGGTCTGAGCCCCGTTGCTGTGTTTCTTGTGGCTGCCTGATCTCAACGCGAGGTTGTGTTCTGGGATGAACAAGGCCACTAGGAGCGACAGCAGGACAGAGCAGGCTCCAAAGAGGAAAGGGGGCCCTGGGATGATGCTACTCTGTAAGGCAAAGCAGAGAGGAATGATTAATGTTGAGCGGTGTGGAGAAGAGATGCAAAACCCGGGGTGACGCTGGGCAGGTACCTCATCGGTGGGGTTGGCCATGTTAGGCTTCGTGGCTTTTCCCAAGGTCTCCACCTCAGCCATTTCGTTCAGCTCCACGTGGAACAGGTAGAAGACAAAGCCATAGAGCGCCGGCCCCAGCCCGTTACAAAGGCCCCGAATTCCGGTAATCATCCCCTGGACCACGCCTGGGAAAACAAGGTGGGGACAGGGAAGACATCAGCCTCCACCTTTCTGAAGGGCTTCACCATGCACATAAGAGGTTCCCTAACACTTGGAAGACTGGTAAAACACGTATAAGCCAACACGTGTCTCAAGACACATCCAAGCTCCTACTTGGCTACAGCCGTCTACAAACTCATCAATAGGAAACTTGCTGCTTTCCAGAATGTGACGAACACTGCTAAACTGTACAAAGACACGCAAGACATTTAAGGGTGTCAGACTTCAGGATTCAAGGGGCAAGCTTGAGATAGGGAAATGATCCAGAAGATCCTTCCCCTCTGACCTCAAATGATTGCTCATGCGGTTTATGAAAGTTTTGCTACGACTGCCTTCCTCAACCAGCAGATATTGCTACAAGCAGGATACAGGCAGGATAACTGTATTAGCTCATACTGTCAGTCTGTCAAGTCCTGCGTTCTCTTGGTTGTACAAGTGCCTCTTTAGAGGACCTGCATTCCACATGCTAAAGGATTAACATGGATGATGGCTGTCATGAGGCCTTGAAGCCACACAGCCGTGACAGGGCATGGCAAGACAATCACCACAGTTTAAAGGGTTAAAGATAGATTTATACCACTTGGAGTGGCAATAGCATTTCCACCCCACACAAGGTGTAGAATTGGGAGGTTTGTTTGGACAGGCGTGGGACAGGTGGTCCAAACCCTTAGACAAGCACAACGGGCCACTCACCCTGCTGGTCAGGGTCTGCGTTTCTGGACACCATGGCACTAATGGCTGGAAACGTGATACTGGACATTGCAGCCACCGCTCCTGCAGCCCACATCATCCTAGAGGGAAGAACGGTCAAAAGATCAACTGGAGCGGAGGAGGGCCCCCATACACAGAACAATACGAGCCAAGGCAAAAGGAGCAGGCGTGCATCTCCCCCTGGCGGCTAAAGGGAGAGCACCTCACAGAACTGCACAGGGCACAGAACTGCCTTGGGAGGGGACGGACCAGAAGCATAGCAACATGCAGTTTGTCAGACAGTGTCGATCAACTCTTACCAAGGCTGCGATCCAAAGCCGTACCAGGCAAGCTGCAGGATCTGGAAGCCTAATCCCAAGAGGATGGTATTCTTGTTTCCTATTGACCGCATGAGAATCCCCAACACAACTGTCTGAAGAGAGAAAATGAAATGCTATCATCTTCCTTGGTTTAACATACTTGGAAGTGAATGGGATAGAAAGCAAAGAGACTGTGCACTGCAGGCTGTGCTGTCAGGCCCTTGGGTTGTTCTGCAGCCTACAAGGTGTGCTTGTATAAGGGATCATAAGGCTAAGAGGTGTGCCTGGCAGAAAAACTCCTCCTTCACTCCTGGCTAGGTTTCATACGATGAAGGGATTATCATCATTAGATGGAGACACCTGCAGAGGCCCATCTAATGCAGTCCCTGTGCCCCCAGCAAGTGTAGGTGTTCTCTATAGGCTACTCTCTTTTTCCAAGTCTAACCTAAAATGTAAGTGTTCTCAGAAGCAAGGTTTTCACTTCTTCCTCTGGCAAGTGTTTTTAAAGGCAATACATCTGACTGCTGAGAAGCTTCTCTTTAATTCACTCCATTACTTTCAGTTACAAGCCTTGTATCACTTGAAAGTTCATCCCCCTTCAGAGAGGGCACTACTGCTACCCTGCTTGGTCCTTCTATCTCAACTGAAGGCTTGAAAGGCAAGACTGCCACTCCAGTTAGTATTATATGAATAAAATGGATGCTCCTGAGTTGCCAGAGAGGTTACAGAGTCTTCCAGAGCACTCTACAGCTACTCAAGGGCAAAGCTGAACGAACGACAGCTCTTTAGTGATGAGCTCAAACAACCAGTACTTTCTACCTCATCCATCACAGAAGATAGAAATACATTATGGATCTGCGCACATGACTAACGCTGCGTGCGTGTGCGGCCACTGGGATTCATTTCATAACCAGGATGTTTGTGAGCGTAGTTTCCCAAAGACTGCAGAATACTGGTTCTCACCTGAGCCAATATAGAGAGGATTCCCACTACCCCGATGAAGGCTGCTACAGTCTCGGAGGAAAATCCAATGACCTGCAAAGGCATCAGAAAGGAACGCTATTCCAGGCATAGGACTTTGCATATACAAGCCAGTGTTAGTGCTTATTGACTACATATCACATAAAGTGGACATCAAACAACCACACCGTCTGCAAACTTGTGGCGAAGTGACCATTACAACAATAAAATGGAAGATGTTCCTATTGACTACAGATAACTAAGTAAATGGAACACCCTAAAATGCCTGAAGGTAACAGGACAGAGAGGGCAGCTAGTGGCCATCCAGGGAAGGGTTGCACAGATAATGCAGGACCCATGTAAATGTTAGGTTTCTAGGAGAGGGAGAAGGTCACTGGTTCTCTCTCTTGCACCGCTGTTGGTGTTACTGCCACATAGCATCTCCTCAAACCAGAACTGCTGGTGTGCAGTCAAGGTGAAAGTCCCTCCAATAAACTGGAGGTTGTGGGGAAGAAGCTGCCCCAGAGACCGCAGACAGTAAGGAAATACGGACATGCACGAGATTATAAACTGAGGCTCAGCCTTCAGGCCCTGTACGTTTCAATAGCCTAACCCCGATGACTGACCTGTCGCAGGTACAGGAAGAAGCTGGAGTACTGGCCGGCTTCAGGAAGGTAGGAGAGGAAAACGGTGATGCATATGAGAAGCACCGTGGAGTCTTGGCCCACTTTGCGGAGTGACTAGTGAAAGGGACAAAGCAAACAGCATATTAGCCCTCTCTGATCCGAGCCCAAATGCATCTCCAGCAAGGAAAAAGCAGACGGCATTCATTATTTGTTATGTGGAGCACCCTGCGGAGCTCATTCCGAAACAGGATTTCAGGATATTAGATACGTCTGTGTGTCAGTCAGCCCAGCAAACAGCTCCCGCTTCACACCCCTCACACCCTGCAAGTGTGGGAGCTTTATTCAGTTAACAAACCATCAAGAGAATCCAGCTGGATGTCTGCAACTCTGGCTCTCCTCAGAACATAAACAGAGCAGCGATTCCATCTTGATGCTACGAAGATCAGTGAAGCTAACCCCTCCCCGACTGCATACAACGGTGCCTTCTCTATCCCAGGTGAATACTGAGAAATCGTTCCTAAGTCACTCTTAATTAAGTGCCCTTCATGGCCCCTCACTTCACCCATGCTTGGTAGAACTGCTTTTTCTTAAAGAAAATACAGTGGCTGCCAAGCTCAGAGAAACACAGCTTGCCAGATCCTAGCACCTCTCTATAGTGTCTGTTAATTACAAGGCAGCAGACGACACCTGATGGTTCAGAGGAAGGCGTGAAGACTGCCATAATGGGCCGGATGGCTGCAGAATATTGCACGTGGATGAGGTGGGTGAGAAAGGCCGGGACCATCGCAGATAGGCAGCTCCCACCTTGAAGTAGGAGACTCGTTACCCTCTGACACCTCAGTCAGTGCCATCAGAAGTGTTAGCAAATAAAATGCTCCCTTGAGATGCAACTGAGCCAGGCTCCACACCTCTTCTGGGACCTAAGCAGGTCTCCCCCATGGAAAGAGCAGCACTAACCTGATATGTCTCTTGTGTAAGACAGTGCAATCATGAAGCAACAGGCCTTGAATTCACACAACAACATGTTTCTACCACGAGAAACTTGCTTCAGGCAGATTGGAGCTGTTTTTAAGACACTGTTGCTGTATAAACTCAGAAGCCAGCTCTGGAAAGCTGCCAGTCATCAACATCCAGGCACTGCTCCCCTGAGAGGGGCTGACTTCACATCCCTCATCTCATAAAACATACTTTCATCCTCGTCCGCCTCTCAGAAGAGGGGACTTGGGTGAATATAGAAGTGGAGCTGCACAGAAAGATAAGCAGCAGTGAAAGTACTTACGGCAAATGGATCGGCCTGTTCCCAAGAGATAGGGGCTCCCCAGGATACAGGGCGCATTTCTTCGGGCAGCGACTCTGGGACTGCCAGCAGAATGAAACCGATATCCAGCAAAGCAACACCTGAAGCCAGCACCACCACCAGCGTGTCACTGTAGGCACGGGACAGATATGCACCAATTGCTGGACTTGTGACCAGGCTGGCGGCAAAAGTGGCTGAAACCTGAAGCATGACACAAAAGTTATTGCTGCCTCCTCTGGTCCAAACCTCTTCCCCCGTATAGCCTATGGGCAGCACCTCCATCTACTCTGGAAGTGATACTTCATAAGGACACAGGCTTCTGTATATAGCTTGCCCCCTTGGTATGGTTCTAGGCAATGGGGAACAAAAGGCATCTCTGCCAGTGCCTTTAAGACATTTGCACTAATCCTGTAAAACCCACAAGAGCAGAGAAGCCAGCACTTCTGGCTGCAGGGAAACAAGTCAATGAGCTCCTTACACTGCGCTACTTATAGCACAGCCTGGAATAAAAGACCAAAGGACAACGCAGCTGGTCTTTGTATTTCACAGCAACAAGTGCCGGGGTTGATTTCTGAGGCAGTAATGGAAGAGACAACAAACTGCTTTGTGAGAGATGCAGAAATTCTGGGGAAAATACCCATGGAAAAGCCAGAAGACCTCCCCCCCTCCCCCGCCTTAGCTTTTCAGCAATTCTTTAACATCCCTCTTCACGGGGAAACCAATAATGCAAGTCCTCACCAAACCATAAGCCGTGCTCCGTTCATGCTCCTGAGTGATATCAGCAACATAGGCAAAAATCACAGAGAAGGTGACAGCAAAGACTCCAGACATGGAAATGACAGCAAAATACCACCTGGAAGAGATAGTTCCAGGACAGAATTAAAGGATGCCACACAACACACACACTATTCTAAGGCTGCTGGGCTTCAGTTTTGTGCCCTGCAACAATTTATGGCTTGAAAGACCACATGAGATGGGGACTACTGCTCAATAATGAGTTAGTTCTCATTAGGGGAGCAAGACTCTAGAAGGCACTTTTCCCTCTGACTAGTAATGAATCCAGTGGTGAAGCTGAGTAATGAGAAAGCTCTGGATTAAGAAAAGGCTCCATCATCTCCAGGGGCTTTCTATGAATGATATGAATCTTTGCAAGTCTCATCCATTGATGGCACCTCCCACTCTGCCATCTCCAATGCCCTCTTCTGACACTCAGCTCTGTATGAGCACTGTCCATTAGGAAAAGAAGAGACTCACCAGGGACTGATCTTCATGAGAGGGATTGGTGCACATGTGAAGAAGACAGTGAGGAGAAGAAAGGACTTCCTGCCCCAGACATCAGAGAGGGCACCGATCAGTGGGGCACTTAGAAAAGACAGCAGACCCTAGGAGAAGACAGACAAATTCACACTGACTGAAATCCCAAACCCTCCAGCTGTCAGGAGGAAAGCAAGAGTTGAATGTCACCAGTACAGATGCCAGGAGGCTGCAATCCATTCAGCCTATTTTCTAGAAGGCAAACCATGACAGTTCATTAGGCAGCTTAAGCCTTTATACTGGAAAAGCAATCAACTTGGCACTGCTCAATGCTCAGAAATTCTCTCCCCTTTCCCTGCAAGTGCACAGCTTGCAGCTGTGGCCTTCCCACGAGCTTTTGGGCACCAGGGAGTTGTCACTGCCACGATGCCTGAAGATGCTGGCACATCTCCAGAACATCAGTGTCTGCTGAAGTTTGGGGAAAGTTCTGACTTTTCTAGACAGAAATCTGATGTTTCTGAACAGAGGCCCAGGTCATTCAGCCCCTATGAGTTCTCCAGCCTGGGTCTTACAGACTCTCAACAGACTCCCTTGGCTATACAAGAGATTATCTGAACTGCTCCATTTCAGGATTGAAAAAGCGCTTTCCCCACAATAGCTCTCTTCCGCTCTCTTTATTGCAGCCTCCCTGTCAAATCCAAGGCATAAGTCACTATGCTAGTCTGTCACATTACCAAGCAAATCAGAAAGTTTGTTTCATTGCTTGCTGGAACCTGGCACTCCCCTCCTGATGCTGAACTTTAAAAAAAAAAAAAAAAATCACTTCTCCAGTTGCTACACTGCTCTGCAATCCCTATTTTCTGTTGTGAGAAGGTAGGATTTCTAAATCATGGTTGTTTTTAAATGGCATTACTTCAGCAGCCATGATTTCTAACATTCCAGGACCACATCACTAGGCTGCTCTCAAACTGGTCTGCTGTGTTTTTAGCTCAGCTCAGAAAGCCTTGAGGCCTGTGCTACCTCACCAGATTTCTAGGCTAGAGGGGACGAGGCCACCCATGTGGGAAAGCATGCAATTCAGTGTTCACATCCTTTCAATTCTGCACTTTCTTGCTCAGCTTACCAATAAGGTAGCTCAGCTACCTTATACTGGGCTGAACCGAACATTGGGTCCATAGATTGGGCTGAACGACCAAATACATGCCAACTCTACTTACGATTGACCCTGTACTGTCTGGAATGAAGCCCAGATGACAAGCCAGTCTAGCCTGCTGCATATGCTTCCATTCCACCAATTCCTTAATATGGGTGGAACATTTCTTACCTTGACTCCATGGATCAAGCCATTCATCAAGAACGTGTGTTGAGGAAAAGTCTGGTGCAACACCTAGGGAGACAAAGCAACAGCTTTTCCAGACCCTGCTGTTAGCAAGAGGACAGCAGGACTGCAGGAGACACAGCTGCAGTCCGTGGTCCCACACAGCAGTGACACCCCACGCTCCTGCCACAAACACTGCACGGATCACCAGTTACAAGGGGTCCCGTTACTTCCACACCAGTATCACGGATAGGATGCGTTTCAATAGGGACAAGTGCAGGGTGCTGCACTTGGGCAGTAGTAACCAGCAGCACACTTATAAGATGGGAAACTCCCTTCTTGAGAGCATGGAGGCAGAAAGGGATCTTGGAGTCATCACTGACTCCAAGATGAACATGGGCCGCCAATGCGAGGTCACGGTTGGCAGGGCTAACCGGACCCTATCGTGCATCCACAGGTGCATCTCAAGTAGGGCCAAGGAGGTGATCCTCCCCCTCTATGCAACACTGGTCAGGCCACAGCTGGAGTACTGTGTCCAGTTCTGGGCACCCCATTTCAAGAGGGATGTGGACAACATGGAGAGGGTCCAGAGGAGGGCCACCCGCATGATCCGGGGACAGCAGGGCAGACCCTACAATGAGAGGCTACAGGACCTGAACCTGTTCAGCCTTCACAAGAGAAGGCTGAGGGGGGACCTTGTGACCATCTATAAACTCACTAGGGGGGACCAGAAGGGTTTGGGGGAGACCCTGTTTCCCCTAGTGCCCCCCGGGATAACAAGCAATAACGGCCATAAGTTGTTAGAGAGTAGGTTTAGATTAGACAGCCGTACGAACTACTTCACAGTTAGGGCGGCTAGGATCTGGAACCAACTTCCAAGGGAAGTGGTGCTGGCTCCTACCCTGGGGGGCTTTAAGAAGCGGCTCCCAGCCCACCCGGCTGGGGTCACTTGTGCCCAGTTTCCCTCCTGCCCAGGCAGGGGGTTGGACCTGAAGATCTACAAGGTCCCTTCTGACCCGACTTCTATGACTTTGAGAGGGCTGTGGGAGGGGTTGGGGCATATTTTGTCTGACACTTTATGGTGGTTCTGTACAAACTTTTTCCATCCTTCAGTTTTATTTTTCTTGGCCTAATTGGTGTTCTCTGCTCCTCTTCCTCCTTCAGTGCCCCTCATGTAATTGCCTTACATTTTACACTATTAAATGAACATAAGGGCCTTTGTGTGAACAACAAACCTTGCTTTGTAAGGCAGTTACCTAGATATCAGAGATCAGCTCAGAGATATCTATGGTACATTAAACTCCAATGTGAACTGGCATAACAATTCCTACCAACGAGCTCCGAAAGCTGAGAATTCCTCTTGAAGCTGCCAACGTGGAAGTTTCCAGTCACTTAGCACTCATTTGAGACAACTATCAGAGATGAGATTTCTAGTTCTTTTGATAAAGCTATCCTTTTGTTTTCTGTTTTGCTGTGGAGCAGCCTTTCTTGCTGGTCTTAGTCAGAGCAGTCTGTCACTTCCAAATGAATTGTTGGCAAAATCTCATTAGATCAGCAAGGCTGGGCAGCCTCCTGACGCCATGGAAGTGGGATTTTAGTGGGAGGTAAATCTCAGTGCTAAACCTGTGCCCAGGCATAACTCAAATGGTGTAGGGTCTAGGTAGTTGTAAAACACAGGCCGTGTTAATTTTCATTCATTGTCTAGCTGTTACAGCAAGTTCTCCCCAAAACAGGGGGGGTTACACAAGATGTTGTGACCCTTCCAGTCTGAGATAGGTTTCGGCTTCCCTAAATCCAGCCAAGCCATTTCAAATGAAGCGAGCAAGCGGCACTCCTCTGCATTTTTAAACTGCCAGGTTCCATTCAAGAACCGTATGTGGCAACTCCCACACATACAGTGCTCTTCAGAACGAGACGCTCTACAGATAGGTTACAGCATCCCAGGCTTTGACTCCTGTGTTTCAAAGCAAAGTGGCACCCACCCAAAGCCCTCCCAACCTCAGTGTTGCAAGGCAAGGCCTAGCCGCTGCGCAAGGAGGTACAGAGCCACACTGACGGGCAAGAGGCAGTCGCCACAAGCAGTTACTCACCGTTAACATAGGAGTGGTCAGCAACCCCCAGGCAAAGAACTCGAGGAAAATCACCACAACCGCATGGTAGACGCTGGGCTCTCCGATCCCCTGGCGCTGAGGAAGAAATGTTACATTGAAACACTGCTCCAAGACACAAATTTATCCCACTGTAGGGGCAGATACTCAAGGGCCTTTGAAAACCTTCCCATTAGTTCCTGGGGGGGCTTCGAAGAGGGGTAATATTGAAGTCCACTGCAAGCTGAGAAAGCAAATAATACTGACACACGACTCGGACACAGCTTAGTCAGAAAAGGTATTTCCTCAAAGCACTAGCCCTCACCTACTGGCCCATGAGGGTTTCTTTGCTGTGCAGAATGTACCTGGCAAGGTCACATGCCGGTGGAGAACGTCCGCCACAAGAGAGCACAGAAAAGCACACAAGTTGGAACTCACCTGCGTCAGAGAATTGCACTGATCAAACACCCAGAGAACAGCACATTTTTCACCGGTGGAGAAACTCTGAGTGCAAGTGGGCAAGCAGACGGGGCAAAAAGGGCAGAGAGCTCCGATACATCATAAAGCACATCTCCCAAAATATCTGCGTCTCAAGAGACGGAGATAGAAATTCCACTGATTTGCATGGAAACCGAATATCAAGTCTCCTAAATTGGCTGCACAAACTTCAGCCTGTGTGCGCAGGCTCTCTTAACTAGACAGAGGGACTACTTTCCTTTTAATATACTCAGGCTGTAGTATGCAAGGCACACTGGATTTTAACAGCCTGCAGCGTGAGAGAAGTCTAGTTCTGGGGAAGCTATGGATTCGCCAGAAATAAAGTAAGATAAGGCAAGAAAAGACAGTCCATTCCGAGACCTCATCTGCCTTCACAGTTTCTACTGAGATGCTTCCCTTAAAAAAAAGCCTGCAAGTCTGATTTAAAGACAAATCAACAGCTTTAAAACGGAAGGCACCCCAAGGGAAATACTGTCATTAAACAAAGCTATTTTTATTCCATGCAAACAGGACAAATCCTCTCTGTTTCTATAAAAAAAATATGAAGGTAGTGCTAAGCCAGTGATTCAAGACAAAAGAAAAAGAAAAAAAAAGACAAGTTTCATTATCGTTTCCTCACTAACCTGTCCTGATAGGAGGTGGGGGTGGTACACACTTCACCCCCAGAGTAATCCAGTCCTTCCCATCACATCTCCTGTGACATCCTTTCAACCACTGCTCTACACTTTGCATATTCCATCGCTTGTATAACAAAATACCTCTGTTCTGCCAATTCCTACTAGGAAAAAAAAAAAAAAAGACGTGCTACCTAACCACGCAAGCACAGCTTATCAATCTTGAGCAACAGGCAAAACCCTTCTGACAGCATGAAGGATTCATGCAGCCCGGATCACAACAGAATCAGCAGTCAGATCTCCTGTCAAGACCTGTCCATAGCTCAGCCTGAACCCTGCAAACCATTAGCAGGGCAGAGAAAATGGACAAGAGTCAACCATTTCTCACAAGGCTGTTGTTACACACCATGTTTTCCTGGCTAGCTCGGATAGAGACCGTGTCTTAGAAACACGCTAATGTAGCGAAGTGTGACCAAACACACCACAAGCTCTCCAGGGACACTGACCTTGGGGCTTTCAGTACCAAGCATGCGAGCTTCAAATGGCTGAAGCAAAACAGCACGTTCGTTAGCTCGAAGCAGAAGGTTGTCAGAGTCACCGAGGCCGGTCACTAGGCTGCACAATCGTGTTTCTTGGCACAGGCAGCCTCTGTGGGGCACGCAGCAGACTGAGGAGGGGACAGGCAGCACATCATTAGGTAGGGCAGGAAAAGTGCAGATCGGGTAAGGGAAGGGAAGGGAACTGAAGTGACAGTAGGGGAGCATACGGGGCTAATTTGTGGCACACCAGCCGATACGTTTGGACACCGCTGCGCTAGTCTATTCCATTCATCTGACAACAGCAATAACCAGCTCCTTGGTTAAATATGGCTCACAAACATGGTTTGCAACTGTGCTAAGCCTGGACAAAAGCATTTTAGAGCTATGCCAGGCATTCAGAACACGTCAAACGTTGCTACGAAGCCGTTCACAGAGAGCACCTCACACAAACAGTACCCTGGGACAGAGGGTGAGCAGCTCTGCACCGACTCGCTGGCACGTGGGATAGAGTCACAACTTCATAGTTAGAATTCCCTTTTTATTAGGTCTTAAATCAGGAACACAGAGAAGACCTCTCTATCCACTTCCACAGCTTCTGGCACCTCGTCCCCTGTTAGAATTCACTATTTAATCCTACCCCAAGCTCCTAAGACTCTCCAGAAGTATTAGAGCAGCGTCAGTCACTAGTCCAGATGAAACTCTAGAGCTGCCGCCCTCCTGCAGAGGCAGATCTTACTGTGCTGAATGACCCTCACCCCCTGCTTCTGTTCGTGGTCACATGGGGAAACAGCCCAGTGAATTAATGTTTTCCTAGCTTCTAAAATGGCTCAGCTGCTCTGGGATCTTCTTCTACATGCTTAGTCTTTGTTTATGGCAAACGCTCTGTTCCCACTGAAGTTTGCCCAGAGAACGCTCTGCTAATAAAAAGCACATTTGAACATTTTATATTTCTTCTGCTAATGGCAGGAATTGCACAATAACCTATTGATCTGGAGGCCTTAGAGACCCATAGCCCCGGGCCTGGTTCAGAGTTAAGCATCATAAGTCAAACTAATTGACAGTGATTCTTACTTTACAAGAAACACCACAGGTACGATCCCAGCAGGAGTTACTTCCAACCTAAGTAAGACTTGGACGTCATGATCGATTTAGTGAAGTGGTTCTCACTCTTTTTAGGCTCGAGGCCCCCCCCCCCGTTCTGAAATGCCGGCTCTTAGTTCTCACTCTTTTTTGACTACCAGAAAATACCAGAGCAACTCTTCTGATGCAAAGGACTCAGACACATCCTGCCCTGCTGTGGTCTTCCTAGCACTATGGATTCCTACCTGAAATCTCTGGGCTTATCTTGTGACTCACGTCTGCCCACTTGACAGTGCTAAACTTGTGTGACCCCCCCCCAATGGCACCCTTGAAAGGATCTCCAGGCGCCCTGGCGAGGAATCACTCATTTGGTGGGTCTGATGGACCAGGGAGATAGATAGCCAATGTAGAAACTCAGCTGAGCCCAAGAGGAGCATCCACTAGAGCTGGGCTGCAAGCGGCCCCTGAGCTGCACAAAGGATCCCCTGGGACAAGAATCTACCTTATGGATACGGCAATTTGCCCGGAGAAGGGCAGCAACAGCTCGCTGTTCTCGACGGCTCCAGCATGTTCTAACGCGCGTGTCTCAGAAATCAAGCTACCACCTGCGCTACAGGTACAGACTGGAAGCAGCTGGCGACGGCTAATAGCCTTTCCCTCCCCTCAAAACCTTGCAACAGAACGCAACTATTCTGGGCTGGATTTGCAGGTGGCCGGCCAGCCCCAGAGACACTCGAGGGCAACGTGCCAGCTTCCGGCAGACGCGCTGCTCCACCAGGCAGGCGGGTCCCCTGGGGCTGTTCTGCAGGACCCCCCCGCGCCCCGGCCCAGCCTCTGATCCGCGCCGCTCGGCTCCAGCCCGGATCACGCCTGTGTTTTGCTGCGGTTTGGTCTGTTTCACGGAAACCAGGTGCAGGGCGGCACTCGCGCACGGACCTGGTGACGGCTGCGAGCTGGGGCCTGGGCTTCCCCGGGGCACAAGCCTCAGAGCTGGGCTGAGGGCTGCCTGCTGCTGCACAGAGACCTGGCGGGGGACGACGATGACGACACAGAGCAGCTGGCACGGGCCACGGGCAAGGAATGGCAGAGGGTGAACGTCTCCCTGGCCCTGTCCTACCCC